TGGCTTTAGTCTATCCTAACCTCGCCTTCCGTGAGGGTACGAATAGCGCCCGGTGTAAGTTGTTTATCTTGTTCACCCTCGATCTTTGACGTGTCGATTGTGCAGAAGTGCGTGTCCGTTGGAGTTGTCGTGGTAGCCTGCCTCGTGTTGCTGAGTTGGCCGGCTGGTGGTATCCGGGCGATGTCTGCGTAGGATGGCTCCGACCTATCCTGCCTAGCGATTGTCGTAGTGTTTGCTTCGATGCTCGTACGCAGGCTCTGGGCTTCGTTCGTAGTCGTATAGAGGGCTTTCCTAAGCTCCTCTACTTCGTTCTGGAGCTCCTTAATTCTTCTCGACTAAGACTAGGACTCTTCTAGGACCTTTCTTATGATCTTCGTCTATAGTTCTATCTGTTTTTCTATAGCGCGTAGTAAAGTCCTTCCGTCTAGCTGCCCTCTACTGGTCCTGGGGGTTGGTCGTTGTACCGTCGATTTGGTACCGCGCCCCTTACTTCGCTTCGTGACTTCCGTATCGTCGGTCGTATCGTTGGTTGCTTGATTGTCGATGGCTTCGTTGTCGATGGCTCGATTGTCGATGGCTTTGTTGCTCGGCTTGCGCTTCGGTCGAAGTTGTCGTCTCTTAATACTATCCCTCTCTTCTTCATCCGACGCGATACGGATCGTGTCGCGTTCGATCGCCATGGCTGCAGGTGGGGCGCTACGTGGAGTGGGATCTACTAGTTCGCGTCGCGCCGTCCCACGTCAAGACCAACCCACCCACGATCAATCTGCTGCCGTACTTCAACGAAATAATAAATGATTTCAATCTTCGAGTCTGTCTGTCCGCTGCTGTTCCTCGGTCACCTCTCAGCTACATACCGATACGCTAAAACCAACTTATGCAAGGCTCCGGGTGAACCCCGGTTGATGTCCTGCGGCGTTCGGAGTGCGCCTTGTCTGTGCACAGGCCACCTGCGATTGACACTAGTCCTGAAGACGACGAAAGAATCCGGTAGGGTTACCGGCTGCGACACTAGCGCCACCGGAAACGGAGGGAACCAAGTCTTCGACACGGCTCTGTTAAGTCGTTTGTACTCAGAGAAGAGGGGGATCCCACACAGGTCCGACGGCCCAGGGCCGGAGGCGTCGGGGTGACCCACTGTGAGCCAGCACGGCCCGCGCTAGACACAGCAGAAGCGGGATACGTATCTGCCTACTCTCGCAGACGTATGATTGGTCATCAGGGCCCATATTGAACCCACCTCTACGTGCTTCTGGCGGCTAATGGTTGGCTGGGGCGTTACTCCTCCCTCGAGACTGCAAGCTCAAACGCGACCATCGACGGAGAACCTGCATAAATCAGCTCTGATCCCACTCGTACCATGCTCCCGAAGCACCCCTCGTTTGCTCATGGCGCCACAGAAGCGCACAAGACAACAAGCAGGCGACCTCTCCCCTGAGAGTCTCCCCCGTCAACCGCCAGCGAAGAGAAGCAAAGCGACAACTGACCTCGATATCGACACCTGGGCGACTTGGGAATATCCGCCCGAGTTTTGGGACCGGCTGTCCAAGATCGAATTGACCCGCAGAGCCATCAGAGAACTCGACCGTCGCACAAAGCGCCCGCGCAAAAGGCTTCTACGCTCTCGTTCTCCCGCGGCCCAACAAACCGCAAGCCCGGATGCCGACCGTAGAGCTCTGGCTCGATTCGCAAGACACGGCGGGCCGGACTTGTCTGACCTAGCAGGCGTGAGTAGTGCTACACGCGCAGCAGGGAAAAATTTCTGACGATAAATCTAGTATCCCCCTCCCCCGGCATACTGTCCTGTCCCCGCCATCATGAGTTCGAGACAATCCTCCCGAAGTGGCGGCAGCCGATTGACCAACCCAACTTCGACACAGCCCACCTCGGTCACAACCAAGTCGAAGAAGTCAGCATACTTGAGCAGCATCTAACAGACCATGGTATTCACGCAACGTATTCGTCCGAGAAGCCGAACCTACAGGAAATCAGAAAGGCGCTAGTAGCCCCCAGGCAGTCGCTCTCGCCGTCGCAGTTTTCCGAGGGCGCCTTTGAAAGCTTCCAGGAGGCCAATGCCCGGGCTAAGGACGAAGACGATGTGCTAGCAAACGTGTTGCCGACAATTCTTGGTCCCAATCAATCCAGGCATCCGTCCGGAAGAAACACAATATTCGGGAATCTCGAGCCTCTCACCGATGGGACGACCGCCCCGGCCAAGCCAGACATTTACTACGGAGCTTCTCCCGAGGAACTATCCCGACCTATCCGCAATGAGCTCGAGCGTCACATCATCCCATCATCCATGCACGACAAGCCCATGGCGCCAAACTTCTTCGTCGAGGTCAAAGGGCCAGACGGCAGCGCGGGTGTCGCAACGCGACAAGCTCGCTACGATGGCGCAATCGGCTCGCGAGCTATGCATAGCCTGCAAAACTACGGCAGAGAGCAGCCACAGTACGACGGCCATGCCTACACCTTCAGCTCGACCTACCATGACGGCACCCTCAAGATGTATACGCATCACTCCACGGCGCCGACCACCGAGGGAGGGCCGCCCGGTTATCGCATGGCCCAAGTGGACGCCTGGGCCATGACGGGCAATCGTGACGGTTTTGTCAGAGGCACCACCGCGTTTCGGAACACAAGGGATCTAGCGAAGCAGCATCGTCACAACTTCATCCAGGCGGCAAATAACAGAGCATCACAGCAGGCGATTCCAGCTCCCCGAGATGACCTTATAGCTGCAGCTCAGCTCGATCCAGACAAGGAGGAGAGTGACGACGAATTCGTCGATTACCCGGATTACTCTCCCCCACGCACTCCCGACGATCCTGCTCCTGGGTTTGCAGACTTAGACGACTATAGCCAGGGCTCTGCACTGCCCGAGCTCGGCGATACGACAACCAGCTTCGCATCTAGCTTCACATCTAACTTCACCGCCGCCCGCCCAAAGCGGCCGAGGCAGCCACTAAGTCCTGACTCGAAATTTACCACTCGAAGCCCCCCATCCAAGAATCGCCATCCTCGGGGGACAGGTAGGCCAAGCCAGAGTTCGCCCCGCCTTGATCTTTCGCCAATAGATGAAGCCGAACAGGTGTGGGTGGAAACCTACTGGCACGATGGGCACATCTGCTTCCGCATTGAGAAGGAGAAGATCAAGACTGATCGGAGGGACTGGGCTCTACAAACACAACAAGATGGGATGTTCTGCTTTTGCTGGCAAGACGCCAGGAAGCGGACTGTTTGGACGAAGGAGCTGGCGGAGGACGATACCGGCCACATATACGCAGCGCCATAGAGGCTGGGAGGGTCGTACTCAACTCGCTGCCGCTCTCAGCAAAACGCAAATTTCACCTACCGATGGTTTACGACGGAGCCAGAACTAGGAAGCGGAGGGCGTGCGTGGCGCGATGTTGAGACCTGGGTTCGGCCGCGAGCTTTCTGCACGGTCTAGGCTGCTTGTGGTCATTGAATGACAGGGATTGAAGCTAAAGAAGCGTAGAAATAATGGACGGCGGTCCTCTCCGATCTTGGACTCGACGCCTGACTTGTTCCTCAGAGCGAAGTCGATCGTCTTGCAGCACTTAACTAGCGAAAACATGAGCTTCAGGAATTTCGCTAGGGACGTGCCATACGGGTAGGAGGACTTGAACGTCCCCGGAAGTGGACCTTACACTGCCTGTGCGAAACCCATCATTGGAGTAAACCTGATATCGCACAACGAATGAGCCATTATCTTCGCCCTCAGCGCACATCCACTCTATACGTTGCAAGTACGGATATCTCTCCTCTGATCTAGTGAAATGAAACAGCATAACGGGGGCACTGCTAACCTCCAATGCGCCACGTAGTCTTTCAAGCTGAATTTGGCCAACACGCGAGCGTTGGCGATTCTGATAGTGTAAGAGGAGTCCAGTGACAGTGTGTGACCCTAAACAGCACGGTTGTACTGCGACAACGTTCTTCAGGTCAACAGAAGTATATAGGTATTGCTCGAGCGGATAAGACGCAGGATATGGCGACTGTGTACGAGGATGGCTGTGGCGGACGAGGGCTCTCGAAAGCAATTTCTGTCATCCCCATGGGATTTGCATCGACGAAGAAACGTGAACATGAGTTGGCTCAGACAAGACATGGCCCCCAACATCGCTTACATAAATGTGCCATTTCTTGCGCGACTTAAGGGGTACACCTCATACCTCAACTCATCCTCGTCATCGTTCCATCCTGGCCCTCTCATACTGCCTACCGTACTCGTTGGCTTCTATGGCGTGCAGTTGTCTGTCAGTTACGACTCGCCCCTCGCCCCCTCTCTGCCCAGACTTGACAGAGAGTCCTCGTCTCTACCTTGAGCGTTCCGTTGAGTTGACATCTCCCATTGAGACTGCGCGTTGCAGGCTGTTACTCGTACCTCATAGCCGTTCACGCTCCATAGTCATGTTTGCTTTTCTGGTACGCCTTGGAGCACCTCCTGGTCTCTCCTCGTGACGTTGTCTCTTGCGTGGGCCTGAGGCCAGCTTCCCTATCTGGCTGCTTGACCCGCATATCGGGCGATCTGTTCTACATTGCGACTCTCTTTACGCCTCACTCGCCATCATCAACGATGACGGAAACGTGATAGACCACTATTTAAAGACCCCGTTACTGCTTCATATAAGGAAAGGGCAAACAACCATGCAGTAATCTGTCGGACTCTTCCGATCGAGACTCAGTTGCGGAACGGTCTATCGCCAGGTTTGAGGAGTGCCCATTGCGGGACGTGGCCCTAAGATTGTTTCAGTGAATGGCGTGACTACTTTTCAGCTCCAATTCTAGGATCACAGTATTGCAGAGCCACGAGACGATTTGCTTCATGCTAGGAAAAGACACGGGAGGAGGCACGCCTCTAGCTCAGGCGGGACTTTAACGTGGGACGAAGACTGTTGTCTGACGAGGCTCAAAAGGATGGACGCTTGTCTTTGGCGGGGTGCCTCCAGGTGCATTACTGTACATAGCTCAAAGGGAAGGCTTGATGATTAACAAATTATTACTTTCTCTCTATAATTGATCTCGCCCAGCCATTCACTGAACTACATTACCAGCAACGCAGTTTTAGCGGTTAGCGTTTCGATTGCGTCAAGCGATCTCACGTCAAGCCAGAACCACCTCTCCAAACTAATCATTTTTCTCTCGCAAATTAACAAGTGACTCGAACTTAGCCCAAAACCGGGATTCTACATGAGTTTGAAGCCATTCTGCATGCCCTTGATGTTCTCGTATGAACTGAAAGTTACTGTCTGAGAGACTTATCTCGGAACGGAGTTTGGTTCGAATGATTTGGCGTCTCTCAATGGCATCAGGCGTTGGCCTTTTTGGCATGTCTTGTATAGATGGGCGCATAAACGGATACTCCTTCAATTTGACCTGTATTTCGGGAGGTAAATCTTGCGCAAGAATATTACTGCTCGAGATGCCTCAGTAAAGTTGAATATTGCAATCGATATTGAAACAGAAAGAACACTCACAACGATTTTCCCATCCATTCATACCATAAGACCGGTACTTCATTGTCTGCGGATTGACCGTAGTCGAGAAGGATGTAACAGCGACGGTTCGGGTACCCAAAGCGGGCGCCATATGCGCTCCAGCGGTCTCGTTCAGGATCGAAGTCCCGGTTCCAGTGATGCTGACAGATAAGATAGTAGAGAGAGGCATTTTTGATGATAGATGTCGCCTGGGAGGACATGTGTCTTCGTTTGGACAAGAATCCGTACGGGTCCTGTTGGGTCTGCTTCGAGTCGCGACACTTGCCAGTCGCAATCATTCGCAGTGGTCTCCATGCTGTCGAATGCAAGAGCTTTTTATCATCAGTCGTGGAGCGGATGGGTCTCTGCTGATTGATCATGACCTAGATAGCTGCAGGGAAGACGAAACTGCAGGAGAGCTTGACGTCATCATATGGAGACAGATCGCGCAACGAAGGCTGGTCTTAGCGCCCCAGTGAATCTCAGAGAGACACGTGACTCCATACATGTGGGTGGACCCGACACTAGTTCTCCTATAGTGCCCCGCCATTTTGATATGGGTGCTTCGCTTCCAGCCCTTCTATTGGCTTAAAGCCGCTCAATTCGTGGCCTGGTACAGGACGTACCGCATTTTTCCTCGCTATCTAGCTGGCGACTAAATGTGATCCCCAGCATCTTAGTAAGCCTAGCACCAGCTACAGAGTGATGGCTCGTGTTGTTGTGCCAAGCCCAGCCGAGACAGGTTCAGTATGAACCTCTTTCAGCGCGACATGACAGGATTGACCAAGCGCTCGACTGGAAGTCGCCTCCAGTAAGCACACTGGATGCTGCTTGAAAGAGCAGTAGGATGAAGCAGCAGAACTTCTCGTGGTGTCCTGTGTCAGTAGGGACGGCGGATGTGATGCGGCTCGTCGCGCGCAGTCGGTAGTGTGGTGCTGTGAAAGGTTTTCACTGGCGCCCTCGGACCTACAAACGGACCACCAACAACCAACGGCTACCGCATCACCCACGCTTTTCCGAGGCCAACAAGCTGCGCGAGGGATACTGGCGCAAGAAAACCATCCGACTTGACATTGGCTGACGTCGATGAAGAGACAGGACACCCTCCGATCTATCCGGCTCTGAGGTCGGGGATGGACGAGTCGAGCATCATGAGGCATCGACGCGTCTCCTGGCGAGGGCTCGGAATAAGCCTACGTGCTTTGCCGAGAGTAATGGAAGCTTTCAAGGCCGACGGATCGACCCCGGTGTCAGCAGACCTGTTAAGCTTCGTGCACAAGATAAGCGGCCGGACCGATCTCGACGACACAGCGCACCGCGATCGAATATTATATGGCGGACATGGGTTGGGTTAGTGGATAGAGTGCGGGTAGCCGTGCCGACGTGGCGGCTGCCGTTGGTGAACATGATGCGGGAGATGCAATTCCCGAAAGAGCTCAGCGAGGAGTGTGACTTGAGTGAGAGCAGAACTGCACGTATCAATTGGTCTTGCATCTATGGTAAGTTCTCCGTGAAGTATGTGTTCTTCCTCCCCTGATGGGTCCAGCCCCCCTGAACCTTCGTCCATTCCGATTTTTTTGTTCTTTTCTTCTTGCCTTGCAAAGTGGTGAAGACGTACTGCCCATGTTTCTTCTTGACATCTACTCGATACCATGTTGGCCTCCCTGTCGAACTTGCGGCATTCACGTGCCCTTGACCCATGGAAGAGAGGCTCTGGGACGCTTCTCCTTCCTCTTCTTCCTCCCCCTCCCCTTCTTCCTCTTGCCCTTCCCCCTGGCCCTCTGCTCTTTCCTCTTGTTCTCCTTCCCCTTCTTCGCCATCCCCCTCATCCTCACCAGACCCCCCTACTTCCTCGTCAAAGGTGTTTGGTGGCGCTGCCTCATCCCAAGTCCCCCCGGCGCTGGGACTCCCCCCAGTCTCTGGAGCAATGACGGCGCCCTGGGGTAACTCCTTTGCAACAACTCCTGACGTAATGTGTCGGAAATTTCTCTTGTCTAGTTGCATCCAGCTGTCGATAGGGGGGTAAGAAACGTCTATTTCGGAATCGCTCCCTGCTGCCATCAGACTAAGGCAGGTCAAGGCCATTTTGACAGTGAGACGTCGTCTACCATGGGCAGTCCAGGGAACCACAGCGAACTCTGGTGGTGAATATTCTCGGTGAATTGGGTCATCCGCAAATGAAACGCCTCCAGTGTCCAGGGACATTGCACTGAGGGAGGTCGATATATCTGTGTTGCCAGATGCAATTCTCTGATGGGGTGGCTGGGAAGGTGTGCGGCGGGGTCGTGATGCGGCTCTACCGGGAGCAATAGGCTCCACAGACATTCTCAAAACCAAGAGATGAGCATCTGTGATTATGAACCCATAGCGACACCCTACCTCAGCTGAATACTCCTGGACCTGGGAAACAGGTAGGGCCCATTGATGCCTCATCCGCTGGTTCGATGATTGCGCCATATTTGGTTGCCATTTCGTCGATAGTTTCGTATCCCCAGGAAGAAGATTCAAGTAGGAATCGTCAACCATTCGATGCCGAGAAACGAGGTTCCAATCGGCCATGCCCGTCCAGCGCCCTGGGCCCAGATAAAAGACTTCGTCGCCCCATCCGTAAGATGCGCTAGCACATCGAAGCGCCCAGTTGACGACAGGGAACATGAACCTGTGGAGGAAGAAGTCGAGACTCTGCTCTTCCCAGACTTCTTGATCGAAGGTGGAGTCTGGCTGTGGATCAGGCGCACCACCCCATGTAGAGCGAAGAAAATGCTGGTATATCGATGAGAGTTCCAGGAAGTTGAATTCCGTCCATGGTCGCCAAGTGGATACCAGAGCCCATTGCTCGTTTTCAGTGTTTGAGCCTGGGCCTGTAAAGCAGAGGGGCACCGGATTCGGTGTTTGGAGGATATCCAAGACGGTTTGTACCATGTTGACATGTAGAGCTTGTGACGAGAGCTATTGCATTTGGCCGAGGCCATCTGGCTCCGGGCAGCTCAACTTTATGAGCTGTCCCATTTGTCGACTTTGTTGACAGTGCAGACCACAGGTTGCCCCTTGTTGGAAGTGCACGATGTGAGGCACTAGCAAGTGCTCATTTTCAAGCGCCGGCACCTGGTGCCCTTCAGTGCGCTGCTTCAGGCGTCCTCTGGTGCTCATTTTCAAGCGTCGGCACCTGCGCTGATGCACACCTCAGGTGCCACCTACGGTGCTCAGTTTCACGCGTCGACACCTGCGTACAGGTGCCCGCATTAGTGCGCTCGAATACACCTGCTGACTCATATGGGTCCAGCATTTACCTGGCCAATCTCTCCAAAGTATTCCCTTTGCGACCTCCCGACTCACAACACCAACACAGAAGCACATGTCTACTGGAGCAGGACCAGCAAGCCGCCGGTGTTGGCGCCCTCCACGTCCTACGGATGTTTCGAGTTCATTCATCAAACGCTGCGAGGCTGAAAAGCAGCAGACTTTCCTCGACCCTCGACCGCTAGCCGGACACCCCGATCGCGCTTGGGCTAGCTTCTGCCAGCCACTCTTGAGGTCATACCCGCGTCTCCCGAACATCCTTTGGAGAGACCAGCTCGGCCATGGTGTAGATGGAATAGCATGGAATGTCACAATATGCGGAGATATGTATGCACTCAAAGTAGTGAGTATCGCGACTCCCACACTTTTCACCATGCTAACTACTCTGTCGTTCTGGGATAATAGACCCCCCCCTGGGAGACGTTACTGGGCCTTTCAAAGGGAATGCCAAAACGTCGCGCTACTTCAAATGGTACAATCCGCTATTGAGTCCTCAACTGAGCCGATCTATCTTCACCCTCAACCAAACACCCGAATGGACGCTGTTCGCAACCTGCATGCGTTCTCGCACGAGGGCTTTCGTGAGCAAAGATTCAAAAACTTGCCTAATGCCATTCCACATACCTCTGTGCCGCGCCTTCGGAAATGTTTAGGATGGATGAAGGTTCCTGGCGCAGAGTTGTGCGCCCTCCAACACAGGCTTCGGCCTCGTCGCGTTAGGCTGGATCGGACAATGCGCGAGATTCTACCAACGGAAGATTATTACGCTCTCGTTTACGAATTTATTCCCAAAAATCCAATCGTGGATATCAACGCCATGCAATCTCAAGCGGACTTTCTCTGGCGACTTGGTTTCTGCTTCACGCCGATACGGCTGGACAATTGGGAGGATGGACTGCTCCTGGATATGGCTGATATCGTGTGCCCCTGGGCTGTTGGCTGGTCTGAGACGCAGTATACCCGTCCTCTCGTTAAGGACTGGGTCTGTACTGACATTGGCGCTTCAATTCCGTAAACCCCTAGCTCCTAGCTTGGTGGGTTGTCATCACGATAGGATCGCCGGCAATATCTTTGCAACTCGCTCCATCGAGATGTGATGCCAAGCCTACCTCATGTGTGCAATTTTCGTACATCAACAAGTACCATTCATCCCATCGAACACTCGGCAGGGTTAAACACCACATGACAAATAGGATACTAGTAGTAACGTTGAGGGCTCTTCATCTGCATGAACGATGCCGAGGTCAATCGTCATCATATCGCACGGTGTTGATGTTGTTGCATACTCTCAATTGGATGAGCCCAGGCATCTCCACGCCGATCAACGGTCGCGCGGAGACTCGACGCGTCGAGACGCGCATACCTTGGATAACAACTCCCACTTTGAGAATGCAGACCGCCCCAAGTTGCTTGGTTCCACCAAAGCGGGGGAAGTAGCGGGTCAGTTCAGGCCAGATTCCCGTTCATTAAGAGACCCCGATAAATGCTATTAAACTACCCAAGTAAGCACCATTGTATCCGATCGAGGGGATGAAACTGAGGCGCGGGGAAATCGTACATAGTTCACCAGGTCGCTCCGACGAATTATTTGAGTTCTGGCCCACTGCACCGTCATCATGGAGTCCTACTCTAGCCAATGCTTCGTTTGTTCGAATCAATTTTCCACTCCCGTAGAACTTCGCGACCATGTGTGGCATTTTCAGGTACGAAAGTTATACACGTTTGCTGCGGCATTTTCTGACCATCACGCAGACCGAAATCACGGCGCTTCTCGCGAAGTTGCATCAACTCCTTGCGCATCGGGACCCAGCTCCCCCAGTGCCTGAGGTCACCAGTATTTCTAAACGAGTTGAAAGTAAACGACGTGGGAACCCCGAGGCTAGAACTCGGAGCTTAGTTGTGATTCCAGCACCATTGGCACAAGACGGACTGGGGTTGACTACTGGACCGACCGAGGCCGCCGCGGACCCCCAATCCCGACCGAAGTCGACCATCAAATGCCCCCATGACGATTGTCAGGGTCATTCGAACACATTTACAAGGCAGCAGGATCTTGCACGGCACTATGCTAGACGTATGACACTGGTGGCGACTTGAATCTGACGAGCGGCTAACGAGGTTTCTCGCAGACGTCAGGTGCAACGAATTTTGTCCATTCTGCTCCACCACTTACACCCAAGCACACAAATATATCGGTCACAAGTGCGCGAATGATGGGCCGGTAAACCAAACAAGCTACACCAAAACCCGCGTTGATGCGTTGCGCGACCAAGCCAGGCGCGAGTTGACGAAGAAGCGAAAATTCGACAAGCTGCATCCGCACTCCGATCAAACAAAGAGATCCAAGACCCTGCAACCACGTAGCACAGATGACGCCTCCGTTATGTTGTCTCCCAAGCTGCCTCCAGTAGATGCGCTTCACGAAACGCGACGCTCGCATGCCACCTCAGGGGCTTTGGCGTACAATGGCCCGGCCCCATCCGACTATGTTGCATCAAACGAGCTCAACGCTCATCAGGTCGCAAATTGGCCCGCCACTCAGCCGTCTGATATCGTCGACAGGGAGAGTGCAGCATCTTCCACCTTCCGACCTTTCAACTTCCCTCCGCTCTTCTCCTCGCTCGATTCTGATTGGCAATCCCAGCTGCAGTTTCCTGATCCACTTTGGAGTCTACAACCTACCCATAACGAAGGTTCTTTGCCGGGCTATGAAGGAGGGCTGGACAGGACTTGGTCGGTGGTATTAGACTGAGCGATGATGCCGCATGCTTTGCGCCTCTTTCGCAATGTAGGTCGGCCAGTTTCGGCAGAGGTTGTTGAAGTTTGGCTACCGTTGCTTGGGCATGATTTCTGTGGCGATATCCATACCATACGCAATAGTAAATCCGTCCTTCCGTTCAAACAGCATTCGAATATCTAATATAACCCTACGCAACGTTAACCGGGTTGGCCCAAGTAAGGGGTCACTCGTTCGTGGCAGACTTACATGCCTCCCTTCTCCATCCGGATCGACACGGGCTTGTACCCTGCCTTCTTAATGGAATGGGGCGAGGCTTCGAACAAACCATTAGAAGAAAAGACCACCGCTATGTCGCCCACATGGGAGCCATCATAAAATTCTATTTCTGAGCCAACGCTCCACATGGAAACCACCAAACGGTGAAGCAGATGTGGTTGTGGCCAAAAGCAAAATATCTGGCCCGGCTCTGGGCCAAACGTATGGCAGCGCTGCGGATTATCTTGATCGAGGAACTGCTCGAGGATTTTCCTAGAGTTCTCGACTCTGTCAGCTAGGTATGAAAGGTAGTTTTGCCTTTTGCCCTGACTTACTTCGTTTCCAATCACGAGGGATTTGAAGTAATCCCAACTTGCCACATTGGTAGACAAGCCCTGGCTGTCCACTTCGGCGACTTTCTGTCCGATGGCTTCATCCTCCAAATAGAAAAACCCATGCCGCCTGAAGTTCTCGGTGGAATCCATCGCAAGCGCGGCTTCAACTCATGGGAGGTTCGAGGAGCAAAATTTGCACGCCTCCCACCAAAGATGACGAGGCCGCGAGGGGTTGGGCAGAAACGGCTTATCTTATCGCTGCCCCGCCCCGACTTAATGCATGAACATGACTTACTTCTTTAAGAGGCGTGGGTTCGCCACTGCCAAAAAAATAAACGACAGGGTCGTCACATGAACCCTTCGATGTTCACCAGGCAGCACAGGCGTCAGACACCTCGCTCCAGCGCTTTTGCCAACACCACTTCAAACTGGTATGAACTCACTTTAATGTTTTGAGCAGACTCTCAAAGTTTCCAGAGCATCTGCTGACAGATCGCAGTCGTGAAGCCATAATGCCCGAGTGTCCCTACTGTGAGAATGGCATCACCCCGGAAGGCTTCATCTGCACGAGATGTAAGCACGCGACGGAGACCCTGAGAAGTGTCCTCACACAGCCGTTGGGTTGGTTCGGACTGAGGAGGAGACGTGACGGATTGGACTGAATGGGGCACTGCTCACCACACATTGCACTATGACTGGGATCTTCGCTGTTCGGGCGACCGAGAACTAGGAGCAAATTCATGACTCCCTCAAAAATCATATCATATAATCGCCGCTACGTCATGATACTGTCCTGAGCTAACCACAGGAGTGAGACTGACCTTTGGTGTGTGGTGCCCACTCAGCTAGTGCCCAATTTTAGGCACCCTTGCGACATGCCCGAGCAAAGTGTGCCCATTTTCATGCACCTCGGAAGGTGCTCGATTTTGAGCACCCACAGCCCAACCCCGCAAATACCCACTCTCAGTACCTGTGACGACTCCTGCCAATCGTTCTAGCGCGGCTTTTAATGTCGCTGGTCTTCTCTTGGCAATACTTTGCATATTGAGGGATGTCAGGGCAATAGCTTGAGTGATGATGCTAGGTGGACAGTACGGTGTACGGTATCATTGGCCCCGGGGATGAGGATTCAATTCCACCCAAGCCATGTTCTGGGTGAAAATAGCCTCAAGCTTAGGGCCCGAGGACTTTGTCTCGTCGATTGCATTGAAGGATACAACACCATGGACTGGAGCTGGGATTGAACATGGGTACATGAGTCTCCGGGATATTGAAATTGTTGGCTAAGGATGCAGCGTCTCGCATTCTCGGGTCGCACGGTGGTCTCCGCGGGGAATAGAGTTGCACTTGAAGTGCAAGGGCGGCTTGAGGTAGGGCGGATGCGGATGAATTCCTTATTTGTTTCGATATAAAGATTGGGTATCCGAAGGACGATAGCTCTCGTCCCCGTCTTCCTGATGTCGTTTCCACTTGTTACCTCTATCACAGCCATGGCGTCAGACAATACCAGTCCCTCTCGTTCATCCGTCTCGGACGGACATGTCTCCATCCTGGACATCTTCCTTCCTGGGTTCACTCGTGTCTCCCCGATCATTCAACACTACACTGGCATTAACTTAGATGCTATCATTCCACTTCTTTGCCTTCTTGGTTTGCTGCTGTTTATGTATGAGCATGTTTATCAGTGGCTCCAGAGGATGGTGATGAGCTATTACAGTGAGTTGTCTACCCAAAAGCAACACGGCCGAGATACCTTACTCACACTCTCTAGCCTCAACACTCCATCTGTCCTGCAGGGACGAGTCCCACAGCATGCTCCTTGCCTGGCTCTCCGCCCAACCTTTTTTCAGAGAGGTCAACTCTTCCCTTGTCACCGTTGACATGAAGAAGGCGTGCGCCTCCACTTCCCGTGGTCCGAGCAAGAAGCCTCTTCAGTATGCACCGTGGAATGGTGAGTTCTGGTTCCTCTACAAGGGCCATTGGATCGCCTTCAGACGCGTTGAGAAGAGCAACAACGACATTTTCGCCCGAGAAACGGAAGAAGTCTCACTCCGGTGCTTCGGATGGTCGAAGGGTATCCTGGAGGCTCTAATGGAGGAAAGCCGCGAAAAGTACCTTGAGGGTCTCCGTGGGAAAACTCTCATCTTTGAGGCAACAGGCGGAAGGTGGGAGGAGTCCAAGACGAGAAGCAACAGAGACGTATCGACCGTCCTCCATGACGCCAAGGTGAAAGAAGACCTCTTGAGCGACATTGGGTGGTTTCTTGACCCATGCACGCGAGCATGGTACACCGACCGAGGCCTCCCATACCGACGAGGATACTTGCTACATGGGCCACCCGGCACCGGGAAGTCCAGTTTCAGCTTTTCCATTGCTGGACATTTCGAACTGGACATTTATGTTCTTAGCCTTGTCAACGTCGACGACGCCGCACTGAGCAGCCTACTAGCAAAACTGCCGCAGCACTGTGTCATCCTCCTGGAAGACATCGACGCAGCGACTTCGGACCGGGCACATATCAAGGAAGGGGATTCCGAGTCTGTTTCCAGCGGCTCAGAGAACCAGGGCAAGAAAGTGACACTCTCTGGATTCTCAACGCACTCGATGGGGTGGGGTCTCAAGAGGGCCGACTCCTCATTATGACTACAAATTATCTCGAGCGCCTTGACGACGCACTGATCCGTCCTGGCCGCGTGGACTTCAAGGTCAAGTTCCGACTTGCGGACCGAGAGCTCATCGGGCAGCTCTTCCGCCTCATCTTCAAAGGCTCCGACGACATCACAACCATCGGGCGGCTTGCCGACAAGTTTGCCGATCAGGTCCCAGAATCGGAGTTCAGCCATGCCGAGGTGCTATCTCTCCTATTGGAACACAGGCTGTGTCCAGGCAACGCTGTGGCGGGCGTGGAAGCATGGGTGGACAAGACCAGGGAGGAGAAGAGGGGCCTGAGAAGGGAGGGTTCTTGGTTGCATTATGCGTAGGTTCACGACTGGGATTCATACGCGCGGATCGCATTCATGGCGGATATTTGAAGCCGTCATGTCGCTACCGAGTTTGTTTCGCCTGAATTGAAGACGTCTTTGACCGAGATATTGGTTGTATGCCCGTTGATCTGCTCTTCAATCGTCACGAACTATCAAACCAACCCCACTAGAAACTCCTGCCCGCATTTGTTCGGGCAGCCCCCAACAAGGTACTCTCCGAACTGCTCGAGCAGCCCCTACTGTAACAAGGACTTTCCGAACTACATGATCCTTGAAGCTTGATTGCGGCAGCGTGACAGCTGCGGTCTCGAGTTTCCCCTGGTCAACATGGCGTCGAGCGGTTTTGGAGGGCGAGACGACCGACCATGTTCTCGAAATCGTCCCCGTCGAGGCCGTCGTCGTTATTATAGTCGTTGCTTTGTTGCTGGCGAGGCCGATGCTTCGTTGGTGTTGCTTGGCTCGATTGGCGTCCACCTGCGCCTGTGTTGCATTGATGCCCTCGAACTCGAGCTGCTGCTGAGTATCAGGTCGACCTCGTCCTTAACCCCGGCCCGGTGGTCGTGTTGCCCTGTTTGTTCGCCGACTTGCCTGACAGCCGGGCTCACCTGCGCAAGTTCTGAATGCCAGCCGACGGTGGCCAGGTCGCCAATGACGAAGTACACCATCTGCGACGGGCCCCCCGATTCGTCGTTGCCGAGTTCCCTGTGCCGAATGTGGAAGGTGTTAAGGTGCACGAAGCAGCCGACATGGACCGGGCCCAAATCAGCGCATCATCAAGGACCTCCGCTAGGGATGCGTCGAAAAGTGGTTTGAATCGGTCGAGATTGAAGTTGTCGGAGTTGACGGTAGAGCTAAGTGTTGACAAGTCGCTGAAAAGGGTTTTCCCTCTCCCGCCGGAGTGAAGCAGACGAGATGCCTGGCAACCCTGAAGCGCCAGGAGGAGATCGAGAGCTAAGTTTTGGAGTTCTGCAAGGTCAGTAGTGCAGGGCCAGGAGGGTGGGTTGATTTACTATCGCCGTTAAGCTTGCCCAGCGAGTTCAGAAAATGTGGTATGCCCTGGCTTGTACAGACAGCCTTGAATGAAGCGCGAAAAGCATCAAGGCCGGTCCTAATGGGGTTCTCTTCGATGATCTTTGGCCGACGTTGATCTACCACGGCGCGTCGCAGCACATCGATGGCAGAGCTGTTAGCGCCCACCTAGAGCCCATTGCGGATCTAGTACGGCATGTGACTTTGCGTTTGTAGTGAGCCCGATTTAAGTCCTGTAGTACCGCCGTACCAATTTACCACGGGTGCCGTGCTTTCAGCATTTCTCATTGGCCCAAAGCCGCTCGGTTAATGGCTAGGTACGTACTGCCTTCTGCCTCGCTATTGCCAGCTGGCGACCAAGCGCGACCCCTAGCATCTTAATAAGCCGGCACAAGCTACAAATCCTCAATGGGAGTGATGGCCCGTGCTTCTGTATTAAGCCCGGTCGAGACAGGTTCAGTAGGGACCTGTCTCAGCGCGATATGATTGGCTCGATGTCCTCTCAAACCTGGGGGACGAAGTCGGACTCTGCAACCTCCACGTAGTATCGCCTGGGAACCTATTCGATAGTTTTGAATTGAGTAGAGCCAATGCAGAGACGCAATCGCACGAAAGTGTAGTAGTCTGGAAGTGAGGGGTTTTTGGCTTTGCACAAATCCTTTTCACACGCGCCAACGCAACAACCGCCAGCCAAATCGAAAAGACGACGACGAATCGACGACAATTCCAAGCTCGAGACGACAGCCCCTGTCCTACGAAGAGGGATACTGGGTACGAAAACCATCCGACGAAACCCTGGTTCTCAGGGCGATGACAGGACACCCTTGGCCCTTCAGGGTTCTGGGGCGGTGAAGAGCGCTGAGTAGCCGCGAGGACCCGAACGAATACCTATGTGGAAGAGGTGGAGTGATGGAAGCTGTTAATATCCCGAGGAACAGAGTCCTTAAGGCCAGAGTGGCTACGGCTGGCTAGCCGGGACGCGGTCGAAACCTGCGAGGCTAGCAGACGGCGACAGCGCACCGCTTCGGCAGGAACATATAGTGGATAAGGGCAGGTTAGTCACAGCTGTGTCAATGGATTGCTATGCCGGCGTGGTGGCAGTTGGTTGCGCTGGGCCAAGACATGGTCGGCTTGTCAAACACCAGCTCTCGAGCTGGCAACATAATCGGAGACGAGGACAAGCAACGGGAAGCCAGGCCGGGGCTTGCCACCACGGATAACTAGTGGGCCGTGGCGAATGTACTCGATCTGCAAGGGTCATGAAGAAGAAGTGGTCTCGATTCGCACTCGAGCCGCTGAGGGAAGGAAAACGTCGAAGAAATCGCCTCTAGGACGACCGAGGGATCTACGGCATTTACTCGACTCGCACTCGAGGTGCCGTAACGGGGGGACTCCTAGGTAGCACCGCTCGCGCCGGGATGGCGCCGCGTGGCCTGGACTTAGGCGTGGTGTCGCCGCCACGAGGGATTGACGTGGCAGGCCTTGTGAAGGGGTATTTTTGGCCGGAGAGGACGGACGCGCATGTCGGTGGACTTAAAGAGGGAAACGCCCTTACGGTCTGCTTAAGGTGCAAACCTTTTATTTACGTGGCTAGGGACCGGGCGGTGGCGAGCTGACGGACCGGAAGCCTGTTAGAAAGTTGGTTGCTTTCTGAATATGGGACCCTGATATACTTAGGGCGACTTTGTATGTAACTTATCTTGCGGGATGAGGGAGGATAGGGGACTATAGGAAATAGAAGGCTGGATAGGCATGCACACTCTGCCGAGTAACCATCCGCTGGCTAGCCTCGTGACACACAACACGAGGCGGTTCACGTCCCCAGTGCAACAAACAGCAACTGTACACGAGGGAGTATGTACCCGTCGAGAACATGGAGACCATCAAGCCGTTCGCACGCAGTCCGTGGGAGAAGAGGATCGCCCGACTCCAGGAAAAGGACGTACCTATGGCCCTTGCTGAAGGTGCACCGAAAAACCTTACAGTGATTACCACAAGCACATCGACGAGAAGCGACACGTTCGGTATCGGCGTAACGACGAGGGCCCCGTGGGCCATCTGGGCACCCGAGGGCTTCTTCACGGAAAAAGCCAGGCTAGAGCCACGAGACAAGCAGAACCCGTTTACGGCCGAGCTGGCAGCCATGCACAAAGGTCTGGATGCCCACGATACGATGCTCGACAAAGTCAGTAGAATAGTGCGCAAGACATCGAGACGCGTGGTATTTCCCGTGACACAATGTTTGGTGATTGGTTGAGCCCAGAGCATCCAATCACATTGTCACTGAGCGAGGGCATTGGAACGCCAGGGCCCCAAGCACCTAGGATGGAGCATGGCCCCGGATAGAGGATAATCTAGGATGGAATAGCCTGGGATGGAGCATAGCCCGGGATAGAACATAGCCTGGGATGGAGGATAATCTGGGATGAAGCATAGCTTAGGATATGCTACCTTGAGATAGCCTTGATACCAGGATGTGATGTTCTAGGGTAAGATATTGGGCAAGATATGTAATTATTGCACATTTAATAGTTATATGATTAAGCCTCAAAGTTGGACATTCCTCTTCACTGGATGCGATCAGGAGAAAGGCCAATCAACAAGATTCACCGGGCTAAAAGCTTGAGAGATAAAAGATCCACAAGATGTAGAGGCGGCTCATTGCGCTTCCCACCACCAGCCATCAGAAGTTGTTGCAGAAACGGATGGAGGACAGACGGGCGAGCTTACCTTGGCCTCGATATCCTGACTCCAGCTCAGGTTAGCCGACTCGTACGAAACGAGGCCTCCATCTCTGGTGAAGGAGACGTACAGAGTAAGCTCAACAGCCCCTAGATTACTGTTCTCTTCGCATTGCGTCAGCAAAGAGACCATGTTCCTCCTAATTTTCTTATTCTGTCGATCAACTTGATGGGTGGTCATATGGTGTCTTGGTTGTATTGGCATGCAGCACTCGACTCATCCCTCGGTGAAGCTGGCAACGAAAAAACGTCAAATGAAAGCTGGCTGCATCAGGAGCCGCCCGGCCCGCCGTCTAAAAAAAGCACATTGATCATCATCGCCTTCGTCCGTATCCTAAAATAAGGCCTCAAGCCTGACCCAAAGACACGAGGCCTTGTTTAGGTACTTAAACGCGGTAGTAAGGGCAACGAAAGTCATGTGTGAGGACGTCACAGGTCCAACTGTAAACGAACCCAGCATCAAGCACGAAATGGATTAAACGGCATATGTAGGTAGCTGTGTAGTTGGGACATCATCTAGTAGCAGTAGTCCATCGAAAGACAAGTGAACGACCAGAGGTGCGTCGTCCTTGGTCTTTGACATAGTTACTTTTATGTGATGTTGGCAGCCCCGTCAGATGTCTAGCCGTCGGATACAATCACCTAGGGGAAGGCATACATATGTAGGTAATATACCGTGCAATCACATCAATTCAACATTATCAGGCTATCAGACTTTCCTTTAAGTTTGGTACAGTAGTGCACCTGGAGGGACCCCTTCGTGCGGCCGGGGTAGGACTTTGTGAACAGTTCATGAATCTTTGTCCAAGACAACCGTTCATCCTCCTCCTTAAGCCTCATCAGACAATAGTCTTCATCCTTCGTGAATGGTCTGCCCGAACTCGAGGCATGCTTCTTCTTGTGTCGTTTCCTAGCTGAACACGAAGGGTCTCGTGTCTCTGCAGTGCGGTGATCCCGGGGATGGTCTGCACGCCGGTCCCATGAGAACTGGAGCCGGAATGTTGCCACGCCGTTCACTGTCACGCGCTTCAGAGCGACGTCCTGCAATGGCCACTCCTCAAACCGGGCGATAGACCGGTCCGTGACAGAGTCTCGGTCGGACGACTGGTGAGAGGATGATGATGGGGTACCAATACCACGAGTTCGGGCATTTTCCGTGGTACAAGTGTTGGCACCGGTCGCTGACAGCCTCGAAGATTGTCGCAAGGTTCGACGTTGAGCCGCAGCGACCTGTGGAGAAGATGACTTGCGACGTTTCGGTGCCGGCATATCATCTTCGTCTAGGCTGTTGCTGCTCCTTTCTTCTATGCTGTTGATCGACCTTGTTGTATAGCTTGCGTCGTTGTCGCTTCCGTCTTCAGACGATGAACCGTCATTGGAGTCGGAATCATGGTTTGCTTCATGTTGGAAACGGGCACCTAGTGCGTTGCGGGATATAGCGCGCAGACGTGCGCTGTGTCGCAGAGGGGTGCTATGGGTAGGGCGTGCACGTCGGGTTCGTCTGAGTCTGAGCGGCGAAATGGGATCGTTCGTTCGCGCCTGCAGCCGCGGGATGGTGGTGGGCGTGGATACAGGTGACGTGCCACATGGCGATGGCCCGGTGGATGTCACAGAGTCTTCTAAGTCGTAGAAAGTGTTGCCAGTCGTGCCGGGGGAGTTGGTATCTCCTTGAGCGCGTCTGGTGTCCTGCGAGTTGGGTTGGACCAACTGCAACCCCACGCACATCAATGGGGATAACTGGGACAAAAGGGAGGAGACAGGCAGAGGCGAGGCTAAAGCTGGCGGGCCTTCATTTGTGTCGACTGCTGTCGTAGGACACTGACCTCCCTCGTCAGCGGTCCCATCGATGATCTGGTCCAAAACCTGTGTGTCCGAGGGCGAAGGCAGAAGCCACCGTTCCTGAGCTTCGACATCTGGCTCGACTGAGCTGCCCCGAGACGTGTTGCCGGAAGAATGTGGTAGACTGCGTGTCGCGACAAGAGGTGGAGCGTGTTGTAAGCAGTGCCTGAGATCGGCATCGAGGGGCTTTGGGTCCGTTGCATGTTAGTGTCGTCTTTGAATGCAGAGGCACCGGGAGCGAGGAGGAAGGTTTGCTGAGGGGAAGTCGACGGGGCTTGTAAAGTGCATTGCATTAGAGGGAAGCCTCGATCGCATGACGACGCTGCATCGGCTCTTGGCTTTGCGGGAGGTTGCAAATTGGCGTCGACAAGGTGATGGTCAACTCGGTCGAAGATCGGGCCGACGGGGAATTTTGAGACCGTTCGCGGGCTCACGCATCCATCAGGAAGCGACGCCTGCTTCTCGGGCCCAGGCCCAGAAGTGCTGCTTCGGGCGTCTCCATCGCTGTTGCTCTCGCCGTCGCTGCCGTCGTTGTCTGATATTACAATGGCACTTTCCCAGGCCGGCTCTTCGCCGCACAGCCTCGGCTGCTCGGCACGCTTATTGGGTGCGTAGAGAACCTCGTTTCTAGGAATGGCCAAAGTTGATAGTCTCGGCCGGTTCGGCGCTTTGAGGTCGGGCTCGTAAAATTCTATGCGATCAAGACTGACTTGCATGGCCGCGAAGTTTGAATATGCCAGTCCGGCTCAATAGATTTCTGGCGAGTGAGGTGAGAGTACGGCGAGGAAGTCAGGAAGTCAGAGAGGGGTCCAGGAGGACGTCCCCGGCTTTATAGATAATCCCCAGCTTCGCTGATGATCCCGAAGAATTCCTTTCCCGAATCACGTCAGCAAACGTCGTAACTTGCTGGTAGGCAACATCAGATAAATGCTCAGCACGAACGAATTCGCCCCAGGCCCCACGACGATCGACCCGCCTGATAATTGCATCGCCTCCCTTGATGGTGATCCTGCAGCGGATCGTCGTAAGGCATCGCGTCCTCGGCCGTCCTCCTATCGCATCGGTTGACATCGTACGACTCTCGGACTCGCCGCTTTCCAAGAACCGAGTCATTGCCCACCAACTGCGTTCCCTTCGTCCGAGGAGGGACTGAAATGAACCAGTCAGACCTCCAAGCGAAACTTGATCGCAGGGGGTCCATCCCGTTGGTCTGACCCGGTGGCGCCCCAGTAAAAGGCCTGGAGGCCTCACAGGTTGGGGTCAAGAAGCAAAATGCGCCATGATGCGCCGTCCTTCCGTGACGAAGCCATCGATCGTATTCGAGGTGTTGTTCCACACGAAGCGGGGACGGCCGGCCAAGTCCTGCCAGGGTGTCTTGCACCCTGTGTCGCACGAAAAGCCAAGGCGTAGAAGAGCGGCGGCGAAAAGCGAAGTAAGGAACCGAGTCGTCCAATCGCAGGGTGTCGGCGTAGGCGATGGCGCCGAGTGAGGGGTTAGGGGTGTCGAATTGCGAAGGAGATTGCCCAAGACGCTGACTCCTGGGCAGCCATGCAGGAAACTAGCCTCAAGCCCGTTACAAGGGCAGGCGGCAGGAGACGTCAGCCGGGCGGCTTGCTCAGCGCGAGCACTGGGAACGCTCACTGGGCTTTGGGCGTGCGAGGCCAGTCAGGCGGGTGAACCACAGTGAAGGATCGCCAGAGCTGAGACGAGCGGCCGGGAACGCGGCAGGGATAATGGTCGAGTTGGCTATCGAGGTCCTGCGTCGAGGATGCGACCAGTTCGGGGAGGCCGGGCGTCTAGCCGGGCAAGGCAGGCAGCAGCATGATAGCGGAAATGAAGGGGCAGGGGCGGAGCCGTCGAAAACAAGGCAGGCGAGCTGGGGAGCCAGGACGGGACAACGGCGAGGAGGAGGTGAAAGAGTAGAGAGTACGCGTGACGACGTCGCGGCGGGGGGACGGCCTACTTATGGAAGAGGAGCGGCGGGGCCCGTGCGCGGGAGCGGGATGGCCACAGGCCCAGCGCCGCCGACGTGGCGCGATGCCCGTTTGGGCTGGCCGCCAAACCCGGCGGGGCAGGCAGCGACTTCGCTATTACTATCTTTTATTATCTTTTATATTTTCCTCTATATTTTTACTCTTCTTCCTATTATTATATTATTCTATCTTTATATCCTTATATCCCTAATCCCTATATCCCTAATCCCTATATCCCTATATCTCTATATCTCTATATCTCTATATCCCTATACCTGTTACGACCTGGCAGCTTCCGAAGGGGGAACACTGTCAGAGGGTTAGGGTTGCTGTTAGCAGAAGCTTAGGTTGTGCCTCTGAGACGATGTGGTGTCGTAAGGCGTTGCGCACTCGTTACAATGAATACAAGGTAAGACTTAGATTGATCACTGTCGTGAGAAAGAATGTATCTACAAGTCCAGAATGTCCGTCCTTATATACCCGTCATCCTGTCCTTGTTGTGTTAGGTGGTGTTGAACATAAGGGTGGTCAGTGCAGAGTCACGGGTCCTAAGATTACATGTGGAGACGTGATATATCTCAGGGGCAGATACACGTCCGGAGATACAACACAAGAACAGACGACCAACTGATCGGATACAAATGAACCGAATACCCGTACTGTCTGACAATTAAGAGTCTCAATCGAACCTGAGCTACCCGCGCAACAAACGACATACGACCTTCGGTCCCGACCATCACGATGTCAACGAAACAAACTGAAAAGAACATTACCTACGAGTCACCAGAAGGCTGGGACAACTGGGACAACGAGTTCAAGAAACTGGCACACGCCTACGACCAGTGGCAGTATATCGACCCGGCCGACCGTATCAGATGGCCCCGTCGACCAGAGCTTCCAGAGATCCGGGATTACTCTAGACAGGCCGACCCCGAAGATCCCGAGAGTGGCACGATGACGCCCGGCTCGGACTACCTACCACCACGACGACTTGGTGAACTCACGGCAGAGGGCAGGGCAGAATATGAGCATGACCTCAAGATCTACTCCCTGAAAGAGTCAGCATACAGAGAGGCCAAGAAGCAAGAGCAGAAACTGGTCGAGTTTGTTCTCAGGACAGTCTCGCCAACGTATCAGAAGACCTGTTGCGTGACGGGAGACCGGCTGGACAAGTGGTATGAAGAGCTACGGAGATCAGGAGCCGTATACAACGAACGTCTCCGCCCGGAAGCACGCGACAAGTATCACCAAGCCGTCCATACCATACCGAAACTCAATAAACTCAACGACTGGATCACACAGTGGGAGACCGCCATGGCCGAAGCGATCAGCAAGAGGGTCCCCGACGCCCTTGACACCCAATGCTGGGCAGAAGATCTGAATCGAGCCATGTACCACGTCCTTCCCAGCTGGGCCTCGACGTTCCGACAACATCGACGGCCCCAGATACTTAACAACACGCTCAACTACCGCGAAGTTGCTGCCGACATCCGATACGAAGCCAAGATGGCCAACCCCAGCGCTAAGTCGTCAGGAGTTAAGAAGGGTGCCTTCTTAGCCACCTATAACGATAATCCTAAGAACTCCGACCCTCCTGCTGACCCAGAACCCGACACGAACTGCATCGAAGTTCATGGAGATGCCTCAGATATACCAGTCCGAGAGACTCGGAGCACACGAGCCCGGGCACGCGGGCAGAGACGTAGAGGAGGAGGAGGGAGAGACGTCTCATCGAAAAGGAAAAGAGCGGAACCAACCACCAACCCAGATCCTGATGGCCCAACCTGCCGAGGATGCCTTGGGTTCCACAACTGGAAAGACTGCTGGTACTTGTTCCCAGACCAAAAAGCCGAAGGATGGGAGCCAAGTCTAGGTATGCAGCGATTGATCGACGACCGTCTTAAGAAAGACGCTGGTCTTGCCGAAGAAGTGAAAAGATTCTCGAAGGGCAAGGACAGAGCCACCAAGGATGAGTGACTTGGACGGGGTATGGGACGCGTCAAGGCCGCCTATATGGTGATGCGCAACGTGGTTGCCGCTGCCTTCAACTGTGCCCCCTACCCTCTCAAACACTCAGCCATCCTGGACTCAGGGTCGACGATCCACATCTTCAATGAAGTGTGCAGATTCCTCGACTACTATCCAGCACCATTCGGAGATTTCGTCCTTGCAGGAGACTCAACAGTGGTAATCCACGGGTACGGAAATGTGGATATCCGCGTCCAAGGGCCGCAAGGTCCATCGATCCTCCGACTCCGAGATGTGGCTCATTGCGCAGACTTCGCATGTAACGTCGTCTCCTATCGTCAACTACGGAAAAAAGGCTACTACTGGGATACGAAAGGGAACAACAACCACATCCGCAGAAAGGACGACTCGATCGTCTGCGCATTGACCGATAAGTTCGACCAGTATGTGCTAGAGTATATCAGCAAATCGATGACAGCAGCGGCATTTGTCACGCGACGGAACCTTCACAACACATGGACTAGGCGACCTCCTCGCAGTGGGAATGAAAGCCTTTGGCACCTACGGCTTGGCCACCCGGGACCTGAAGCGCTCAGGCACCTCGTGGGCCAATCTAGGGGGGTGAAGATCAAAGGGATCTCCACGGTCGAGTGCGATGCTTGTGGAGTGGCCAAGACCAAACGCCAGATCCGCCGGCAAAGACGAGTCCCACCTGAGAAAGCTGGAGTCCGGATCGCAATCGACTTTCACGACGTCAGCGGAGATCCTGACTCTGCTTCAGCCATGCTGGTCACAGACCGGTACTCGGGTTACATCTGGGACTACTATCTCCCGGATCGGACAGCGTCCACAATCATCACCACCATCAAGCACTTGCTCAAAACGCTCGAACGCCAGCTCCAGTGCAGACCCGAGGTTGTCGAATGTGATAACGAGATCCCAGGCAGCCACCAGGTGAGTGACTTCCTGAATGTTGAGAATGGGATACGCCTAGAGCCCTCCGCACCTTACACCCAGAGCCAAAACGGCGGCGCAGAGCGCTCGGGTGGTGTGATCAAGGAAAAAGCTCGTGCTATGAGAGCCGGAGCAAAGTTGCCTTCCTTCCTTTGGGTTGAGATCTGGCGTGCTGCGGTATATCTCTACAACAGGACGCCCAAGTACATCTATAACTGGAAGACACCGTATGAGCGCTTCTACACTTACTTCGCGTTTAGGGACGGCGTGGTTGTCACGGACCGGAAGCCCGACCAGACACACCTCCGCGTATACGGCTGCAAGGTCTTCGCGATGACACCCGATGCGCTCAAGAAGAAGAACCGGCTGCAGCGACTCGAGCCACGAGGTTGGATAGGATACCTGATCGGGTACAACTCGACAAACATCTACAGGATCTGGAATCCGTTGACCAACAAGGTCATCTCTACTCGAGACGTGACGTTCAATGAGAAGGAGACGTTCTCCGGAGACATCCAACATCTTAGGGATGACCTGAGAGCGCTCAGCGAGACAGAACTCATACGCCGCCTCACCGCGGCCGAGGTCCCACAAGGATCTAGTGTCAACATTGACGCGTCAACCCAAGAAGAAGACGAGGAACTCAGCGCCTTGCCAGAGGAACCAGCGTTTGAGCGGGAGGTCGCGAGTCATCCACCTGGAGGGTTTGAACGTGATCCGGCGATCGCGCAGGGTGAGACTGGCTGGACACCAGTCGTAGGAGACAGTAATCAAGACGAGTCTAACGGGACTGATCACCCCTGGACGACCGCTCGATTCGCTCCCTACCTGACCCCGGAGACTTGTCCTCAACAGCCTGCTGCCCTCTTGGCCGCTGCTATCAGAGAACCTACCGCGATGGAAGGAGGGAAAAAACCCCCTCAGTTACGAGCTGCGAAGATGGTGCACGTCCCACCTAGCGCTGGCACTTCCCCGGGCCGAGGCGGTGCAAATGGAACCCCTCGTGTTATCCCAGCTCCGATCAGTTGCTGGGCGGCCGCGTTTAACGCCGGTCGACTAGCGTCTGTGAAAGGGACCTGGGATGGCAAGGTGGTGAGTACGCGGAAGCTCGAGAAGCAGGCGAGCTCGGCCGGCTGCCACCCTGATAGCGGAGAACCTGCAAAAGAACAAAGGAGATCTGCTAAGCTGACGGACTCCTCCCATCCCATGACCCAGTCTGCAAAGCTAACAGACGTAGGTCGTCGGCGGATACACCGGCGAGATATGCCAGCGTTACCGAAGACACACAAAGACCTTAAGAATCATCCTCTGGGTGATCTGTTCCGCGAGGCAGAAAAGTCACACCTTCAGAACCACAAGGAGATGTGTTCGTGGAGAGAGATCCAGAGACAGGACATTCGAGGCAAGGAGTTGCTGGATTGCATGTGGGTCTACGTCTACAAGTTCGACAAGCATGGGTGGTTCACCAAGTGCAAGGCCCGCCTCGTTGTACGAGGTGACCAACAGGCCAAGTCAACGCATGAAGAGACCTATGCATCCACACTTGCAGGACGGTCATTCCGAACGCTCATGGCTATCGCCGCGAGATTTGACCTTGACCTACTCCAATACGACGTCGTCAACGCCTTCGTCAATGCTGAACTGAAGCAGGACGTCTACATGCGAATGCCACCCGGTTACCGGAAGCCTGGCTTGATCGTTAAGCTACAGAAGGCACTCTACGGTCTACGCCAGTCACCCTTGCTATGGCAGAAGGAATTGACTGCCACCCTTACGAACCTTGGATTTAAGC